ACAGAAGGCCCCACGACTGAGCATGTCCTGAATGAGCATGGGGGCCTCGGGTTCCAGGGGCACCGCTGTGGTAGGTGGGCAGGCGTTCCCGGTACCACTGCCCTAAGACCGAATGGGCTACTTTGAGAAAACGAGTCAAGCCAGCTCCCCAAACTCACAGGCAAACTATTCAAGAAGAAAAACCAAAGCACCAGCAGGGCCCTGCCCAGTCTGTGGGAGGGGGCCCATGCTGGAAACGGCTCTTATGCTAGGACAGCCTGGGAACATCTGGTCACACAGTGTTTGGCGCAGCCACTGGGCCACCGAGCCCCTGGCCAGGCGGCGGGTTAACCAAATCATGTGAGGCGTGCTGTCGAAGCCAGCGGAGTATTTCTGTGCCGTTAACAGGAACCTGCATTATTACAAACTCAGGGTCCCAGAGAGTCAACACACTCACCACAGATTTTGGACCAAAGAGCCTAAAAGAATTCAGTTCTATTTTGTGCTGGGCCAAGAATTTTGTGGTGACTTTTCTTTTTTTTAAACTATGTGTCCGCTTTTCTTATCGGATAGAGCAAGAAATTGGTGCTAAGCTCATGTGTTTTGTTTTAATAAGGACTGTTTCTTTCATTTTTCTCTTTTAAAGGAACAAACTCATTTCTTTTTCTTTTTTTTTTTCAAACTCTTATTTCTTGTCATAGCTCCGCAGTGCATTTGAACCTGCAGAGTCCACAGGCTCACGGGGCTGGAAGGAGAGTCAAGAGTCCCCACTCAGTGTCACAGCTGTTTAGAAAAAGGACTAAGAACGACGACATTTAGTGCTGGCTACCTCTGGGGTGGATTCCAGAAGGACTTCACTTTCTGTGTTTTTTTACTTTTCTGAACTGTAATGTTTTTTACCTTCCAAACTTTGAATTTTTTTACATGTATGCATTAATTTTGTAAGCAAAAAAAAACAATAAATTTAAACGAATCTAGAAATCATTTGCATTCATATAGACGCGTTTGCCCCTACTCCAACAAGAATATTGCTATGTGCCAAGAATTAAGTCTTATGGGCCATTACGTCCTCAATGTGAGAGAAACGTCACTTCATTTAACTCCCTATTACCAGACCCACCTCACAGATGAGGAAACGGAGGCTCAGGGTCCCACAGCTAGATCTGCAACCAGCTCTGTCTGCTTCCCAAGGCCCTGCTCTCAGCCAGCCTGCTCCACAGCCTCCCAGCAGACTTGAGGGCTCCTTTCTCTCTGCCCCTTTTCCTGCCTGGCCACTGAAAGCCGCTGTCCTACTAAACCACAAATAGTACAGAGGCCACGGATTGGGTGGGCACTCTGGAGATGTCTGGGTCATGACTGGTGACTTCTCTCCCAAAGTCAAAGAACCAGGTCAGTGCAAGGGGAAGGGGCGGGCCAGCAGGAGCCTGGGGAAACGGCTCTGCTAGATGTGAAACTGAAGAACGCACTGGTATGTTCGGGAATCGGGACCCTACCGGGCAACCGTGAAGGCCTGGCCATCTTCGGTGCTGCCCGATACTGTGCCCCCCTGGGAGGTTTCAGGCCACCTCTGCAACGGTTCCAGGTCATGGACTCCAGAACAGATATCGAGCGGGTCCCCTCCCACCTGCTGCTATAGGCCCAGTCCTGCTAATATGTTAGTGGTGCTTCTCAGAAGCTGCTCTGCCAAGGGGTCGGTCCCACATGTCCATGCAAAATGCTGCGTTCTCCACCCCCTCTTGGAGACACAGCATGTCCCTGCTCAGAGAAGCGTCACCTTTCTGAGACCTGTGTCACTGGGTTAGACCTTTGAGAAGCTTCTGTACAAGTCCAGCACAGAGTGAGAGTCTGCAAAGCCCACCTCAGGAGACGGGCACAAAGGTGCACACGAGTTCCTGACCACGGGCTAGGCACTGTGACAAACTTACCTTGCCCTCGTCCCACAAGCCAGGGGCGGGAGCTGCGGGCACAAGCTGCCAGTGGCGGCCCTCCAGGACTGCATTCCTCCCCTCCACCTACGCTTCCATCCCCGCCTGTGAAATCTTCTCCAGCCTTCCTCCCTCAGACCCTGCTTCCTGGGCCTCCTGAGGCTGCCCGGTGCTCACTGGCTCAGCACACAAACCTAACCGTACCTGCCGGCTTCAAGTCCCACACCTGCCGGGGACTGGTTCCGTGGCCATGGGCAAGTTATGAACCAAGTCTCTGCTACCCCGTCCTCAATGGTGAGCGGTGTGACCAAAACGGTACCTGTGTCCCGGGGGTTGACTGAGCATCAAGAAAGCTCAGACCAACAGGGTCAGAGAAGTGCCTGCAGCCTCATCCTGGCGACCCAGTCTTTCTCAGAGCCCCAGAATGCTGCTGCAGGGCTCAGGGTAGCACGCGCCTAGCTCAGGCCAAGACAGTGGCTGATGCGCGCTCACCGCAGCGTCCCGCACACAGTAGGAGCTTAGCTTAGTTGACAGCACTTGCAGAACCTGTGCAGCCTGTAAATGTGAAGCTGAACTCTTCCTTGGAACATCGTGACCCTAACCTGCTGCTCTGCATACAGATACCCCTAGAGTCCATGCAGAGCTGCTCACGGCGCGGCCGCCCCACAGCCCCGGGCGGGAAGAAGGGGGCGCACGGGGAGCAGCTTTCTTTAGCGGGGAGATGTGCACTCATCATCGGCCTCCCTCCCTCCCTCCCTCATCGTCCGCTCCGCAGTGGGGCTCGCGCCAACAGCAATGGTGGAAGTGGTTCTTGGTCACACGGAGGACTTTCCAGCCACATTCCTGGGTCCCCGAAGACGCTCCAGCCCAGGCCACAGCCTCCTGGCTCTGTGCGGGCTCCTGCGGGTTTCCCAAGTGCGGGGCGGCGGCGGCCCTGGAACAGGCCAGCCTCTGTGGACTGAGTCTGGGGTGGAGCGCAGGATAAAAGCACGGCCAGCGGAGGCCTTTAAATGTCAGGGCAGTCATCCCTCCCTTATTTCACAATGCTGCTCCAAAACCACCTCGCTGGGCCAAGTTCTGTTACCACAAAGTTAATATCCTCTAGCAACTTCCGAGCTGGTTGTCTGCCTCTGGGGCCAGGACACATCTGGCCAGCAGAGAGATTTCTGGATCCCTGGCCAGGGTGAACTTTCTAGGGGTTTGTCCTGAATGACGAGAACCCCAGGGCCACCACCCACCCCACCCCCCCACCCCCCACTGACTGTGTCGGAGTTTTGTTCTACCAGACTGAGAGGAACAGCCTCACCAAAATTCTTCGAGGGACGGGAGAAAATGCAGGCAGTGAGTAAAAGCAGAAGGAAATGAACAATCCTCACTTTGGCCCACGCTTCTCAGGCATGGCAGCAACAGAAGAGCAGCCTGGAAGAGACGAGAGCGTTGGGACTGGACAGGCAACCCAGCACACGCTTCCAGAGCAACGCCACTGTGAGAACGCAGTTTTATTTAAAAAAAAAAAAAAATTTAACTGAAGCCATTTATCGCAGCCAGGACTCAGGGCTCTGGGTTTCCCTCAGAAAGTCACCTAAATCTGTCACCTTTCCAGCCTTTTTACCTCTTTAAATTCCTGCAGGGAAGGAAAATTCCAGTCGCGTGTCCAACGTAAATGAACGTGGGTTTGATCGTTGTCTAGCTAGTAAAGCAAAGAATGTCCGCCACTCAGGAAAAAGAAAGGGACACACCTGGAGGAGTGACGGAACCTGGCCAGTGCGGGGCAGAGGGTGGAGCCCCAGTGGCACGGGGAAGGCGCAGCATGTCACCAGCTTGTCCTCCGGCTGCCCCAGGCCAGGCCAGGCTCTGGAGCAAAGGGCCAGACAGTCTGGACTCTGGGACCAGGTGCATGCTCAAGACTCGAGACACCTGACCCTCTTCTTTTGTTGGGGGGGGACCCCTAGGCTGGGAGGGGGGGCTAGAGAAAGGAAGGAAATGCCATCAACAGAAGCTGCATTTTTATTCTAAAGCAAAAGGAGGTCCAGCTGAAAAAGCAGCTCTGGGCACTGAAGGAAGGCCATTCTGCCCACAAAGAGGAGTGGACATGGGAGCCCGCCTGCCCAGAGGCGGCCACATGCTGCATGAGCAAGGCCAGCCAGGTTCCGTCCCTTAACACCCACCGGTGACCGAGGCTTCCATAACAAGACCAGCAAAGACAACAGTTAAAACGCAGCATGAAGCACCTGAAGGCCTCTAGACACAGAACAGAGAGACCCACACCTACCCGTCCTTCACTGGATGGGTCACAAGGGCCAACCCTAGTCCCCAAGCCTCACTGTCATGCTCAGGCCTCCTCGGTAAGAACCAAACACAGGTGGCACCCAGGCTCAGAGATTGTCCCGTAGACGGTGTACTCACTCCACGTTCATCTCATTCAAATCAGTCCCCGAGCTCAGTGTTAGCACAAGGCAGGGCTCCAAGACACAGAGGATAAAGTGCAAGGGACGGGGCACGTGGCCAGAGGCCTCGCCTACAGTGAACAGCGAGGATGATTACAAAGGTAGCACAGAGGATGGCAATCACAATTTCTGGATGGTCTCGTGCTGTCAACAGTTTCATCAAATGAGTAAGTGCTTCCACCCATCTCTCACCCTCTGAAACTATGACCCATGGTCCTGATCTCAGGATCGGCATCATCCGAGTGACAATGAATCCTGGCCTGCACTGCAGGGCTGGGTTCCTGGGACAGAGGCTCCAGTGAAATGCTGGAAGGGGGTCACCAGTGCTTGATGACAATGGTCTCCCCCCACCAACACCCCACCTCTCACCATCTGTCTGCTCCAATACCACTAGCATTGCATTCACAGGGAAAAGGCATCTCTGATTTTAAACGGAGAGAAACAGACACTAAAAAAAAAAAAAAAAGGAACCTTGATTTCATCTTTCTTTGAAGAGCACTTAAAAAACAAGGACTCATAACCCGCTTCCGGGCGTTTCTGAAACCGGCGCCCCGCCTCTGCCTGGGATGGGGATGGGCCAGGGCCAGGAGCGGCTCCCATGAGCACCGAGATGCTCCTGCGACGCCTCCTGCGGGGCTGGGGCTCTTACCTGTGCCATCTTAGCAAGGTCTAGGGAAGGTCTCTGCTCCTGCACCTCTTCTGGGCGCCGCCGCTTAACGCCGACCTTCTTGTCGTTAAGGACACACGGCTGGGAGCGGCTTCGGGACAGCCCGCTGGAGCGTCTGGCCAGCTCTGGCGTCGAGGCAGGTGTGCTGTTGGCTGAGGGTGGACAGTACTCCGCAAAGGAAAACTGCTCGTGGGAGCAGGACAGGGACCGCTGCATGTCAAGCCGGCCCCCGCCCACAGGGTTCGGGTCGGGGCTCCAGATGTCACCCGCCTGTCCACAGGTGGCCGAGCCTGGCGCCCCCTGGCAGGGCTGACCTCCGAGTCGGTGGTGGAATCCCGCCTGGTCATAGGGCGAGGAGAGCGCGTTGGCCCGGGAAGGGAGGCTGAAACTGGAGCTCCTCTGCATGGTGCTGAAGCCGTTGGAATAGCGCTGGACGCTGCCTCCGCTGTAACAGCGTCGCTTTTCTACGGGAGTCCAGACTTTGGAGCCCAAGGGCCTCCACGATGTCCGGCAGCTGGACATTTCATCGGAGAAGGACAGTGACCGGCACTGGCGCTTGCTGGGGGGCGCTGAGGGGTTCCCGTTGTGGTCGCTGAGGCTGAGGTCTTTGATCAGGTTGGTCACGGCGCAGGCGGTCGCGGCCTCCCGGTGCCACAGGGCGCCGTCCTGACACTTCTCGGGCAGGCACTCCCAGATGCCGGCGTTCGGCTGCTCAATCTGAAGAGGGCATTTCCTGTCCAGGTCTCTCCATCTGTCATTTTCTGGTTCAGAAATGACAAAGAGAAAACAGGATTTGAGAAGGCCTCCATGCCAGCCCTCGATCTCCACAACCAAGAGCCCATTTTAGACAGGATTTTAGAGGCAGGAAGGCCCTTCAAAACCATCCGGTCCAACCTCACTTTATGGATGAGAAACAGAGGCTCGGAGCGGGGATGTGAATCCCACGGTGTTGAGTGAGGCGCAGAGCGAGGCCCAGGATGCACGTACCCCCCAGGCCTCCTGGCGCGGCTTCCTTTCCAACATTCCACACTGCCTCCCGGGAAAGTGCAAAACAACAGTTTTCACCCAAATGCTTTCCCATGTTATAGGTGGGAAGCCGGCCTGCCCCAGCCCTCCCCTGGCCTGCAGCAGTTGGGGCAGGATGTCTGTTCCATCCCCTCTCGAGCTGGGGCTCAACGCCCTGGCAGAAGACCACGACCCAAGAGGAGTCTTTTGGTACTTAGGAGGGTCAAGGTCGAACGGGGCGGGCAGTGCTGCAGGTTAGCTCATCCAAATTCCATCTCTAGAATACTTGTTGACAATAGAAACTGGAACCTGTACTGATTTATGCCTCCTCCATCAAAATGCTCTGCAACATCAACATCATCACCAATGACAGCCAGTCATGGAGCACGTTCCTCATGTTCACTTGATTTCTCACTGAGATCGATGATGTTTAAAATGGGTAAAATCTGTAGGAGCATGTCTTGGGCTTCACAGACATACAGGGATGCTTTAAACTTACATCGTCAGGTCTCTACTTGAAGACATGAATAAATAAGCTAACCCCACTAGGAAACGCTGACTTTGCACCTGAGCCTTTATTTTAGTGAAATATTCAGGAACTATGTGGTGTTTTTCTACTGAAGAATCAGGCACTGTGCTGAGGATCTTAGGAGGACACAGATAAACCTGACGTAGTTCTTGTATTCAAGTTTATAATACAAAAGCAAAGTTGAGACCCATATCCTGTGCTGCCAGGGATCCACATATTGGCATGTTTCTATTTTTTTAAATCTACACACATTTATGAACGGTACAGAGGGGAACATACAGAAAACTATGGCTTGAGTCCGTCAGTTGTCAGAAGGACAGAAGCAAAACCTGAAATGACATTCAGGCAGGTGTTTGATGCACACCAACTCTCATGGCACTGCCATTGTTTACTGAGCAGATAACCCCCACGGCGGCTGGAACCCACCAGGCGCCCTGTGTGGAGGGTAAGTGGCCCGGGGCCACACAGTTGAAAAATGACTGGAGGCTAACTCAGGCTGGCCCACCCCAGCGCCCTGCTCTTTTCACCATGCCACAGTGTCGAGGGGGACCACAGGGAGCCCAACATTGGACCTGCCCTCAGCGAGTTTCTGAGTCACGCAGGATGGGCCATCCACTCAGAAAACCACGGTGAAACCCACATGAATGCGCCAGTCAGCAAGGACCACACGCCCATCTCCTCGATCAGGGGTCACTTCTCAAAGGACACTGAGAGACACAGCAAAGGACTGACCCCGTGCTGAGTGTCTGCAGCTATTGGACAGGTTCAAAGGGAAGGACCAGTAAGGCTCAAAAGGAGCCTCACAAGCCCAAGATCAGCCAAATCAGGTCTAAAGGTGCCGCTCCTTCACCTAGGGCACCCTGCCACAGTCGTGAAACATGCTTAAGGTGTTGGGAGCCTGGACAGGGGACACGGGAAGAACCGCCCAGAGGCTGCTCCCATGAGACGGCCTCAGAAGCTGGAGATGCAGGAGAGGGCTCTTCCTTAAACCCAGTTAGGCCACTTGGGAACAAAACAGGACAGTCACCAAATGTCCAATTCCCCTCCTCCAGGAATCTTCTTGGGCCCTGGTGCACGGCAAGTCTCCATACGTGTCCCTTTAACTAAATCTGATAAAGTGTTACCATAAACTGCGTTTTTGCAGGTAGCGTTTATGTTGTTCAAAGTACGTCTTCACTACTCACTGCCCCTAGAGCAGCCATGATTCTTTTAAAACAGTTTCAATTTGACATTTGTTAGTAGTTGTAAGATCAGTAAACTTATAATAAAGTAAAATTAAAAGAAATACAAACATCAACTGAGTCACTCTTGTTAGCTGATTTACAAGAAGAAAAGTTATCCTCAGAAAAAAGTGTCGATTTGTATGTAATGATGTTCTTCAAAGTGATACAAGGGGGAGCCTGGGTGGCTCAGTTGATTAAGTGTCTGCCTTCGGCTCGGGTCGTGATCTCAGGGTCCTGGGATGGAGCCCCACATCACATCGGGCTCCCTGCTCAGCGGGGAGCCTCTTCTCCCTCTCCCTCGGCCCCGTCCCCTACTCATGCTCGCATGCACACGCGTGCTCTCTCCCTCTCAAATACATAAATTAAATCTTAAAAAGAAGTGATACGAGTGGCAGTAAAATGGTAAACACAACTAAAACACCCTGCAGTCGGGCTGGTGATATAAATGATCAGGGAATAATACAGAGTATGAAAACAGCAGAGTTCCAAAGAATATTAATGATGTGGAGAAATGTTAATATGTAATTCGAAGCCTAAAGAAACAAGATAGAAAAACTATATAGATAGCATGATTCCTATTCTGTAAAACATGCATGTTATATGTGATGATTAAAAGAAAATAAACCAAAACGTTCATACTCGAATGGGGGAGAGCTGGCTGATTTATATTTTTTTCCCATTTGTTTTGCTAGAGTTTCTACACTCTCTGTAAGGACAAATGTATTTCCAAATGTGTGGGGGACGTGGCCACCAAACCCACTGGTGCTGTGCCAGGGTCAGGACCTATGACCCCAGCCTCCGCTAGGTCTGCTCCTTTGGTCTTTCAGGGAGTTCCCTTAGAATAACACTGGCCACCAACTTCTCTTTGGGGACAAGGCGCTGAGGCGCCAGATGGGCTGGGAATGTGGTGACTGAAGAAGGACCCAGTGGGCCCAGCCACAGAGCAGGGAGGGCCCCAGCATGGTGGCCCTGCTTAAGGAACCCGAGGCTCACTACAGACGGTCTCCATCCCAGGCCCTGGGAAACCCGTGAAATTAAAAAGAATTGATCCCACCCTCAGAGGATACCACTTCCCATTCTATTTTAATTTCACTGCCCTGGAACTGTCCCCATCTCCAGGGAAGTCATGAGAAGAAAGGGGACCTGGGAGCCAGTTAAGCATGAAGGTTCAGTCCCTCTCATCTGGCAGCGCCATTCCTCCCCCATGGCCATCTCGTGATCCTGAGGCTTCTTGACGGGACCCCTCAGGCCTCCCTAATCCAGGCTCACCGACTCACTGCTTCCAGAGAACTTCCTGAGGCCCACATCTTTCATGTCTGTCCCCATGCAGCTGCCTGTGGCCTCAAAGAAAGAACGTTTTAGCCTGCCATCCAAACCCCATCCACTCATCGCCTCCCCAGTTCACCCTACTCCAGGCACACCGAACTTCCTGACATCGGAAGTCAGACAAGAAGCAGGCAGAATCGAAACCATCCTGGACAGTCCCTGGAACAGCCCGGAAAGCACACTCCTCCTGGTTTGTGTACACAGCCCTGAAGAGGACTCCTTATAAAACGGAAGATTCATGAAACAACTGTGGGAATGGGCACAGGCATTCCCTGTGTGGGAGGTGGGTGTTCCGTCTGTGTTTAGGTTCACTATCAAATCCCCAGTGGGGACTGGGGTTGGATGGCTATCTCTAACGTGTTCCTGCTTGCCTGCAGGAACCACTCCACTCTGTTTTAAGGGTAAGCCTCTACGACCTTAACGGTAAGATTCCTTTGCCTCAGGGATGATGAAGAGTCAGTTCTCAACTGGGTCCACTGGGGTTAAATGCGAGAGCAATGTGTCTGCAGTGAATCTGCAGCTTCCCCGCCAAACACCAGCTCTTTCATGACCTTACACCTTTGTAAAGGCCTGGACTGTTCTTCTCCTGCCTTTATCCTTCCAGCAAGAATCTCTTCCTTATCATTTAAGAGCCAACGCAAACATCTCCTTCTCTGTAGATGTGCCTTCTCCACATTAGCCACTGGGCGCCCACAGTTCTTTGCCTGACTTTCAATCTTATGGCTCAGATGTTAACTGAACCTTAATTATCTATTTACAAGTCTGCTTCCACTGAGCCACGAGCCCTCGAGCACAGACCCAGCATGGCCCCCCAGTGCCCAGCATGGAGCCTGGCACACAGCAGACTTTAGCTGGTGGTAGGTAGAGGAAGGAACAGATAATGTGCAGATAAAAGCTGCAGAGCAGGCCGTGGGTTATCATTTGGTCCCACTTGTCCCTTATCCTTGGCACTGGTAACCCCTCCTCGGCCAGCTAGGTCCGACCTGGGGGCTCTGCCTTCAACTTCCTGCTTTCCCGAGGCCATGGATGGTTGCGTGTGAAGCAGCCGGGAGTCTGGCTAGCGGTATGAGCTCTAAGATACTCTGGAAACACAAAGCAATGTCTAACATTGAGTGCTGCTACTGTGTGTCAACACCAGCCAGGTGGCCACTTGGTCTGTCTGAGGGGCAGACAATATTTTAATTGTTACTATCTTTATCTCTTGAAGAAGTACAACATAAGAAAAGTAAAAACAATCGGGGCTATGTTTAGCCCTTGTGTTTTCCCCCTTCGCTCAGAAAACAGAAAGCAATTTGCTGGGTCAGGTCACCAGACAAAAGAAACAGGAATAGAAGCTACTTTTTAATGGCAAACAGCCTCGAACTTCTGGCCCTGACGTCACTCCGGACAAAGGGCCTCGGCAGGGCTCTGAGGAGAGGATACTGGACACCCCCGCCCCTCCATTCAATACCACTCTGCACAGACAGCGATGACTCTTTCAAAAGTGACAATGGCCACGGACCTGGGGAGTCCACTGAGCAGGGGTCACCTGGACGTTGGGAAGGGTGTGGACATGGGTTTGAACCTCAGCTCTGCAAGTCACTTAATCTCTCAGAGCTTCAGCTCCCCCGTCTATAAAATGAGGGCGACAGTAACGACCTCGCAGAGCTATTCTAGGAATCAAACAGTTGCCCGGGAC